TCCCTGGTCTTCATCAGCATGACAAAGACTGCTGTGTGACCTGCAGAGAGAGAGAGGGGGGGGGGGGGGGGGGTTAAAGAGAGAGAGGGCAGGGGTGAGAGAGAGAGATGAGGGGAGTTGGGGAGTGAGTGAGTGAGTTTGGAGGAGGAGAGGGGAGAGGGGAGATATACGCCAGATAAACAATCTCTTTGGTTTAAAACATGTGTGAGTAAAACTAAACATAGCAACATCAATTAAATCTAAGTAGCAAACACAACACAATCTCCAGCTGTCTCTCTCAGAATGTCCAGTTTGAGCTGGTCAGACACTGCTCTATTGTCCACTCTACCATGACAAATACAACCCCAGTTCCACTCAGGGGGGACCTGTTTCAATGTGACACCAGCAACTAAACTATACACAGACCACTAGCTTTTATGTGTTTACTGTATATCTGCCAGTTCTCTATTCTCTAATTTAGAGCCTTAAAACAGGACTACAGAAACCAGTGGATGTAGAGAGAGGAGAGAGGGAAAAAGAGGGGGGAGAGGAAGAGAGGAGGGATTGAGGGATACAGCTAGAAGGGGGGAAGAGAGGGAGAGAAGGTATGAGTGGGGAAGAGAGCAGAAGAGAGGAAGAAAGAGGAGGAGATAGGGGAAGAGAAGAGAGGGATGGGGGAGCAGATATGGAGATGTGCATACCACAAAAAAAAGCTATGAGCCATGAAGGAAGGCCAGAGCATAAAGCATTATTTATCAAACGGATATAACACTCAGTCCTTGATAAATCTGGTTCCACTTTTCTGTCACAAACACACAAACACACACACACACACACACACACACACACACACACACACACACACACACACACACACAGTTGCACACACACACACAGACAGACACACACAGCTTGTCTTGTTTCTCCAGCTCCACAGTTGGATTCCAGGCAAAGGCAGCTAGCGCCAAATGAATTATAGATCACCTTATTTGAACAGATCCCATCATGCAGTTAGTCTGGAGAAAAACCAACTCTATGAAATGGTAATGTTACAAATAGCTCCTAAATAAACAAACAACCATATCAGTCACATGCTGTGGCGAGTATCAATTAGTATCCAGACTATCAAATTAAATCACGACAGAAGAGGCAATGTTAATGGCACTATAAAGATTATGGTAAGAGTTGCAGTACAGTATTATAGTGTTTGGACTAGCAATCAGACTAGTTCTAACCGGTCTGGTCGGTAACAAGTCAAAGCCCCACTTACATCAAAAATCCACACAAAATCCACACACAGTTCTGCTAGAGGCTCTTTGGATCAACCTGATTATGGTGATTTGCTTTGGATCAAAGTAAAGCTGCCTAAATACAAGTGTAGTGCAGTGTGAGTGTGTGTGTGGTGGTGCAGGGAGGGGTGTGTGTAGGTGTGTAGGTGTATGTGTGTGTGCATGCTTGTGTGCGCTTGTATGCCATGCATGATGCATGGTGGCTTATGTGTGTGTGAGTGAGTGTGATAACATGACGCAGAAAGAGAGAGCATGCTGGAGTATGATCCAGATTCAGGAATCACCTTTAGCCCCTATCATCAGTCAGACATGTCCAAGAGGAGAAGGGGGGAAATAAGAGGGGGAGAGGGGGGTGGGAAACATGGAAATTGTGGTAGAGAGGGAGACAGAATTGGAAAGACCATAGATAGATTGGGTACGGAAGGGGCTGTGGAAGAATATGGGCGATCTCAGGCGCTTGTGTTTGTGTAACTGTGTGAGATTAGATTAGATTTGTTTATTAGTATAGTGAAATTATTATGCTCCGAGCTCCAACAATGCAGGTCAAAAAGAGAAGTGAATTAAACAATAATAAAAATACTAATAATAAATCCATATTTACAACTGTAACAATTATAAATGTCCATAGTGGGGTGGGGGCAGGGTAAATGTCAATTGAGTGGGCAGGGTAAATGCCATCTCCACGGTGGCCCCGTTGATGAGGATGGGGGCGTGTCCAGGCTGGTTCCTCCTGAAATCCACAATCAGCTCCTTTGTTTTGCTGACGTTGAGGGAGAGGATCAGTGTGGAGGAGGTAATGTTGCCTACCTTCAACACCTGGGGACGGCCCGTCAGTAAGTCCAGGACTCAGTTGCATAGGAGAGAGTTTAGTCCCAGGGCCGTGAGCTTTGTGGTGAGCTTGGAGGGCACTATGGTATTGAGCTGTAGTCAATGAACAGCATTCTCACGTAGGTGTTCCTTTTGTCCGAGTGGGAAAGGGCAGTGTGGAATGCAATAGAGATTGCATCATCTGTGGAACTGTTGGGGTGGTATTCGAATTGGAGTGGGTCCAGGGTGTCTGGGATGATGATGTTGATGTGAGCCATGACCAGCCTTTCAAAGCATAGAAGGCATTTAGCTGGTATGGCAGGCTTGTGTCACTGGACAGCTCGTGGCTGGATTTCCCTTTGTAATCTGTGATAGTTTGCAAGCCCTGCCACATTTGACGAGCGTCAGAGCCGTTGTAGTAGGATTCGATCTTAGCCCTGTATTGACGCTTTGCCTTTTTGATGGTTCGTCGGAGGGCGTAGCAGGATTTCTTATAAGTGTCCGGGTTAGTGTCCCGCTCCTTGAAAGTGGCAGCTCTAGCCTTTTGCTCAGTGCGGATGTTGCCTGTAATCCATGGTTTCTGGTCGGGATATGTATGTACGGTCACTGTGGGGACAATGTCATCGATGCACTTACTAATGAAGCAATTGACTGAATGCTATCGGATGAATCCTGGAACATATTCCAGTCTGTGCTAGCAAAACAGTCCTGTAGTTTAGCATCATCTTCATCTGACCACTTCCGACTTGAGCGTGACACTGGTACTTCCTGTTTGAGTTTTTTCTTGTAAGCAGAAATCAGGAATATAGAGTTATGGTTAGATTTGCCAAATGGAGGGCGAGGGAGAGCTTTGTATGCGTCTCTCTGTGTGGAGTAAAGGTGATCTAGAGTTTTTTCCCCTATAGTTGCACAGGGGACATGCTGGTAGAAATAAGGTAAAACTGATTTCAGTGTGTGTGTGTGTGTGTGTGTGTGTGTGTGTGTGTGTGTGTGTGTGTGTGTGTGTGTGTGTGTACACAGTCTCAGCGAGTACACAGCAGGTTTCATTTCCTGATCTCCACACTGCCACTAATTTCTCTTTGAGAGCTGAGCCCAGAGTGACATCAGCTTCCGCCAACACACCAGCCATTGCCATAGCGCTACACAAATATATTTTGGGGGAGAGGGAGGGGGAGCATTTTGCGTGACACATTCGCCCATTAGGAGGGCCGATCCCCCTCTCTCCTCCTCCCCTCTCGTCCTCCTCCATTGGCGTTTGCACAGCCGGTTGGTGTTTGTAAATCCATCAAAGAGCTTTAGCTCTCCTTATTTGTTTGAGCTTTGCCTCCACCACTCTCTCTCTCTCTAGCGCTCCCTATCGCACACTGCTTACTAACCGCCATTGCTCTGTTTCTCTGCCTCTGGCAAGGCGTCAGGGTAATGCGGTAGGCGAAGTCAGGCACAGGACACAGAGCTAATCAAAAGGCGTACTTTACTCGTAGGTAAAAGAATGAACAACAACCTCCACGCAGGGAGGGAAACAAACCCGCACACTAACGACAACCAAAACATGAACAAACACGCACAACACACAGTGTGAGACAGAGGGTTAAATAGGGAAGACATAACTACATGATGGGAAACAGGTGTGACCAATTAAGACAAAACAAGTCAAACATAGATACATGGATCGGTAGCAGCTAGTACTCCGGTGACAACGAACGCCGAAGCCTGCCCGAGCAAGGAGGAGGGGCAGCCTCGGCTGAATCCGTGACAGCCTCTCTAAAATGGTGAACCCATTTCCATCCCTCTGCTCGCTCTCTCTCTCTCTTTCATAGAGTAGTAGTAGCTGGGAGCGATGCCAATGGTCTGAAGGGTAGGAGAGGATGCCCAGTTAAGGTGACTAACCAGGGTGCTTTGTGTCTCTCTCTCTTCCTGGTGCCCTCACAGATAGAGGGAGTGTGTATGTGTGTGTGGTTGTGAGTGTGTGACGGCGTGTGGGCATGTGCATGCTGCGGTGGACAATGTTGATGATATGGTTAAGGGAGGGGGACACCATTAGTTGGAACAGCTTTAATTCTGGTATTGATCTCTCTAGAGTGACTCTTCTATATATAATATTCTATCTCTCGTTCTAAGACTCTCCTGCTCTCGCTTCTACGTATATCTTAATTTGATAAATCTGCTAATAGGGATAGGTCGGGATAGGGAATTCTCGAGGAGGATAGAGATGAGAGAGGAGAGGGAGAAGAGAGAGAGAAGTGAGAGCGAGAGAGAAGAGAGAGAGAGGAAGAGAGAGATCGGAGAGAGCGAGAGAGAGAGAGAGAGAGAGAGATAGTAGAGAGACTGCGCGAGCTAAGATGAGCAGAGGATGCGATACGTATCTCTCTATCATGATATAGTATAGAGACTCTAGATGTCATCTCTCTATCTCTCTCTCTCTCTCTTCTCTCTCTCTCTCTCTCTCTCTCTCTCTCTCTCTCTCTCTCTCTCTCTCTCTCTCTCTCTCATAAGGAATATGATGACTTTGTCCTCTTCTCTACCTGGAATATCCCAACTCTCACCCCTCTCCACTCCCTAGAGGTATGTCTCCTCTCTCTCAGACACTGGAACCGAGTTTAGGATTCCCCAGGCAAGCAGGCACGCAGCACATCTCTCCTTCTCCAGACAGTCTGTGAAAGTGAAAAATAATTACTCTGAGAAACTTTATAATGAGAAAAAGATGGCCAAGTTTAAAGATGAATATATTTTCCCTATAGAGGAAACAGATAAGTTCAGTTAGATTAATCTAAACCAGTAAAATTATTCACTCTATAACAACCAGAAATTACCAATATCATACTGATAGTGATATTACTAATGATACATGACACATTATTCAACATCATCATCACTACCATAATTATCAGAATAATCAGGTCAGTTGGCCCTCTTTAAAACCGTTTACATAATTCCTATCACAGATATCTGGCTGAGGGTATAAGGAAGAGAAGAGTTTAAATGTCACCCAATTCTTCTGACAATCCAGTGTTGCATAGCAAAGTATGATGAAACAGTCTCAGTGGAGCAAAACTGTGGCACTTTGATATTTATATCAGGAGAGTAAACCGTTGAATGCTTTATAAAGTGTATGATTAGGGCTGTGAAGGTCACGAAATTTCGTCAGCCGGTGATTGCCAAGCAAATAACGGTAATTGACCGTTAATTAACATAAACACATTTAGCATCTCTTGGCTTCCACACATAGTCTACAAGCCACTGATGCAGACCTTTGGAACATCTACATTTTAAGTCTAATAAATCCATGTAATATAGCCTACACCTACACAATAAATCCATTATTTATTTTACACAGGTCTAAAGAAGCATGATATGAAGAAAATTTAATCAATTTCAGAAGAACAGAATAGCATACTCTGAGTTGTCCTTATGTTAGGTCCTGATCTGGCTATGCCAAATGGCTGTGGGCTACACTAGTTCATTTAGCAGACAAGATTTGCTTAGAATTCCATTATTTTATAGTATTAACAAAGCTGAATAAAATATAAACATTTTCTCCAAACGATTTGAGTTTGAGGGAGTGGGCACATGCAGCTATTCTGTGTTGAGCGGTTAACAAAGAAATAGTTACTCCCATATGCTTAATTTAAAGTTATTCATGTAACTTTAGTTGTTCTACATACGTTGGGCTATATGTTTAGATTTGTAATACATTGTAAGGCTGCACGACTCTAATGATGATTTGAAAAAAGTCGATTGAAAGTCATAAGCTCTGCTTAAACTTTTTTGCGCAGGCTGTACACACTTCTTTAGTCTCTCATTCACAATTTGACAAGCACTTGATAACACCTCGAAGTTCATGGCGGCATCCACTTTGTGGCCGTAATGCACCCGAAAAAAATCCATGCCTTTTGCGGCCTTTGGCCGTTGTGCCCTGGGCCCGTAGTGCTGCTTTGTGCCGTTCTCCCTGAGTTCTGCGCGCTCCTAAGCACCTCTCACTCACATGGCTTTCCATCACGAGATCGGGTCTTTCTCACAGGCTACAAGTGAAGACAGACACATCGGGGACGCAACTGCGTGTGGTGCATATTGAAGATTTTGGAAGAACTGTCCACATTTACTTTTCGTCAGCCAACAAGATTAGCAGGCCTAACGAACAGCAAAAGCACTAGCCTATGTCAATCTACTATCCCCCATAGTACAAAAGTTTACCTATTCTATTCTGTGCGAGAAATAAATATTCCAAACATAGTCTGGGATAGTTGTGGGATGCAATAGATCCCAAATTAATACAACCACTAGCATCAAAAACACATTTTTTACACAATGTGGCTGACGCAACAGAACAGAACATTTTGCTTAAAATGTTGATAAACTATTAGGCATTTTCTTCACATTATAAGCACAGCAATGCGCACATGGCAGTAGGCTATAAGCGCGAATGTTCCATTAGCCGGAAAATACCATTATCAAAACTGACCGCAAATATTATAAAGGTGCATTTTTATGGTGAAAATTATCTTCCCCAAACTTGAAACTCACGCGCTGCTTATGTATGCCAGTTAGGCTCTAAACCCCATGTAAAGCAGATTAATGTGCTTCATTTTAAGAAGTTATTTGGCCACTTTAGTTATGATACAAACCTTATCAAAACATATAGACCTATGGGCTAGGCTACATGAGGTGTGCGACGATGATTTGAAAAAGATGCAAAAAAAAGTATGTGCTGTTTGCCTTAAGCTGGGCATCATTCACAAGTGATAGGCTAATATTGTCACCCATCAGACTATTCTTGATTATCTTGTCTTTACATATACTAAACAATGTATGTGTGAAATTTGTTTTGATTTAGAATGAACCATTATCATACACCTGTCTCAAAACAGTGGCAGCGGGAAAAAAATACATGTCATCTATGCACTTAAGTAGTGAATGGATAGTGAATGGAGGGACACTTTTCCCGTGGTTCATTTTCACGCCAGCTAGGTAGGCTATACTCCTGTTGTAAAGATAAACAATGTGCTTAATATTAGGAAAGTTTAGGAAAAAAAAGAATAGTAGGCCTAGCCTATAGAAAGCTGATGGGATCCTCCTCTTTTTAGTAGAGGTCATCACTCTGTTTTCTCATGCAATAGCATAACCTATAGAAATGTTGCACCACATGAGCTCTCATGAAGTGTTTAATTAGATTTTCGAAGACATTTGCATTGATGTCAGAGTGATTAGAGGGACAATAGAGTGCTGAGTACCAGGCAGTTAGCAAGTTGACCATCAGCAGCATCAGAGCTTGGAAAAGCCTTTATACCGTGACTAAATGGTCACGTGGAATTTGACTGCCTTCATGACTCGTGACCGCCGGTGTGGCGGTAATACGGTCACCACAACAGCCCTGTGTATGATTGATAGATAATGCTACATGGGCCTAGATTTTACAGAAGGTTTAACATTTTATAAGTGGCCGGTATTTAAGAAAATGCCTCAACACATCTTCAGTGACTGAAGATGATAGTTGCTGTCTGAATAGCTGCAATATACAGTATTATACAGTGCCATGAGTGCATGGAACTCCCTTCCATTTTATACAGTTCGGAAAGTATTCAGACCCCTTGACTTTTTCCACATTTTGTTACGTTACAGCCTTATTTAAAAATTGATTGAATAAAAAAAAAAAACATCAATCTACACACAATACCGCATAATGACCAAGTGAAAACAGGTTTTTAGAAATAGTTGCAAAAAAAGAAAAACAAGAAAAGAAAAACCTTATTTACATAAGTGTTCAGACCATTTGCTATGAGACTCAAAATTGAGCTCAGGTGCATCCTGTTTCCATTGATCATCCTTGAGATGTTTCTACAACTTGATTGGAGTCCACCTGTGGTAAATTAAATGTATTGGACATGATTTGGAAAGGCACACACCTGTCTGTATAACATCCCACAGTGGCAGTGCATGTCAGAGCAAAAACCAAGCCATGAGGTCGAAGGAATTGTCCGTAGAGCTCCGAGACAGGATTGTGTTGAGGCACAGATCTGGGGAAGGGTACCAAAGATAATGTGATGTCTGTGATTGTGAATCAACTCTCCCCAAAGACTGCAGAACTAGGCCAAATGGAAACACCTAGGAGCATTGTGTTGTGTAATCCACTAGGGGGCAGAACAGCAGAGTGAGTAAGCGTCTGCTCTCCTCCTTGCTTTAGGATGATGTTATCCCTTATCGTTGTGTGTGTGTGTGTGTCAGATTATGTAAAGCACCAAATGAGGTTCATCATCTCTTATACCCTCCAGCATAAGCAACAACAACAAAAAAAACATTATTATAGACACACTCTGCTGCTACATCTAGAGGGTATAACCTAGCCCCCATCTTTTTCTATACTGATCTGATAGCTATTTTCAATGGTAATCCCTCCATCTGTGTCCGTCCTGTCATTGCAGTTGAGGAAATGTCTAGTTAGATTGAAGGTTATTGGAGTGTGGTAGTCTATCTCCCAGACCTACCTCTACATTCATAGTTATAGTGCTTCTGTTTCTCCTTGCACCTCACAATACAGCCATAGCGGGCTAACATAATTGGCAGAACCATGTGCAGGCATGTCCTTTCATTTCAATTTGTTTCACTCTAACTACACACAGTGCATACAGCACTACTTTTGGGAGAGTTCTGTTAGTGAGTTTCAGTAAAAAGACAGATACAGACCTGCATCCTGCCTACATGTGTCCTATAAGCTCATTACAAAGCTCACGGCCCTGGGTCTAAACTCCTCCCTATGCAACTGGGTCCTGGACTTCCTGACTGGCCGCCCCCAGGTGGTGAAGGTAGGCAACATTACCTCATCGACACTGATCTTCAACACGGGGGCCCAACAAGGGTTTGTCCTCAGTCCCCTGCTGTATTCCCTGTATAACCACGACTGCGTGGCCTCACATAGTTCCAACTCCATCATCAAGTTCGCTGATGACACGACAGTAGTAGGACTGATTACCTACAATGACAAGACAGCCTACATGGAGGAGGGAGGCACTCTGATGGTGTGGTGCCAACGTTAGCAAAACAAAGGAGCTGATTGTGGACTTCAGGCTGGACACGTCCCCATCCTCATCAACGGGGCCGCCGTGGAGACGGTCAATAACTTCAAATTCTTTGGCGTACACTTTTCAGAGAAGCTGAAATTGTTTAACGACACAGACACCGTAGTCAAGGAGGCACGACAGCGACTCTTGAACCTCAGGATGATGAAGAAATTCAGCCTGTCCCCTAGGGCCCTCACAGTGTTCTACAGGAGCACCATCGAGAGCATAGTCAGGCTGCATCACTGCCTGGTGCGGCAACTACCCCGCTGCAGACTGCAAGACTCTTCAGAGGGTGATACGTGCACACTGCTTGCCCTACAGGACACCTACAACACCAGGTGTCGCAGGAAGGCCGAGAAGATCATCAGGGACCCCAGCCACCCAAGCCATGCCCTGTTCTCCCCGCTTCAATCAGTCAGTACAGGAGCATCATTGCAAAAACTGAAAGACTGGCCAATAGTTTCTACTCTCAGGCTGCTCAATAGCCACCACTAGTCACCACCCACCAGTAGGCTTCCCCTCACTACCATATTTGGTAGTGAGTGGAAACGCCAACCGGACACTTCACATTTATACATCCAGTGAAATATCTGTCTCTGTGATGAGGTGTGAATGAAGGAGTCAGGCGCAGGAGGTAAAACACTGAAGTCCAGAGTTTATCCCATTTACATAAATAAAAAGCACCAAGCGTCAAAACAAAACTATCACAAGGGAAATATTCCACCTTGGCAATAACAAATGGAAGAGTAGCTAAACCGAGCTACTCGCTCTCAAAATGAAACAATCACTCACAAAGACAAGGGGAACAGAGGGAACACTTATACACATACTAATTAGGGGAATGAGCACCAGGTGTGTGTGATTGACAAGACAAGACATGACAAGTGGAATGATGAGAATGGGATTGGCAGTAGCTAGTAAGCCGGTGACGACGAATGCCGAAACCTGCCCGAACAAGGAGGGGAGACAGCCTTGGCGGAAGTCGTGACAGTCTCATTATTCTATCTGTGCCAGTACTGTTCTGTGCTACACTGCTGTTTCCTGTGGGAAGGTTTCCCTCTGGTGGTCACAAGTGGTACAACTTACCCCCTCTCAGGAAGGGATGACATCACTATCATTACCACCAGCCATAGTGATTAACTGCATTTATTGTAATACATGGTCAGGTGCTGCTTGGGAAACCAATTAATTGAGTGCTGCTGCTCCCTTCTGGTAGAATGATGACAACTCACTCCACACCATTCAATAACATTGTTATAGACAGGATACAACACAATGAAATACAAAAAGGGCCTATTTTATTAGTATGCAGGTGGTCAAAATGATCATCATCTTGGCATCAAAGTGAATTCTGACAGAGAGGTAGTCATGGCTGGGACTGTGTCTTGACTATCTATGTACTGTATATGATCATAACATGTGTAAAGAAGTTTATGAGTGAATGGTGAGACACCTGCCAGTATAAGCCTCAAACATTTCAGATCACACACAGTGACAGAGGGTGACACTACTGTCGTCATCATCATCATCATCATCATCATCAGCCAGGCTCTCCAGTCATAGGCCAGGATTCTGAGTCTGTCCGTCCGTCCCTCAGTCACACTGTAAAGCAGATGGCATCATAGTAGAATAGATCATATTGCTATGAGACCCACAAGCCATAGTTCATTTAAAATAATTATCTTGTACACCACCACCAGTATCCACCAGATCAAAACTTCTAGTCCCAGCAGTGTCCATCTCCACATGATGCCGATTGTATCCCCTAGTCCCCCCAGTCCAACTCCCCTGGTCAGGGTCAGGCCAGTCTGACAGCCCCCAGGAACGTGGAGTCTCCATCCAGAGAAACTTTGGCTGTAGAGCGAGGGATCAACAGCTCCACACTGTCCCCGACCTCCAGCTTCACTACACCTACAGAGAACACAGTTAACACACTCAGAAACAGCACACAAACACGTACATTCACACACCTACTCACAAACACACACACACACAAATGTGCAGACACTCACACATGCCCACAAAGACAGACTCACCCCCTGTGTAACAGGTGTTGTATGGGTAGACAGGGTTCATGTTCTGGATACAGCGGAACAATGTGACATGCTGAGCTTCATCTCCCACCACGTTCCTCTTCTTCCTAATCACCACATGACCCATGGCAAAGGTTGTGTCCATGTAGTACACCTGCATGGGGGGGGGGAATGATAGTTACGGTTGTTTTTTTTAGCTATTGTGAACACTATTGCAGCACATATGGAGAGAAATGGGGAGAGTTAGGGCTTGTGAGCTGTCTATGTGATACACCTATTTCCCACCTGAAGGAGACTAGCTCTCACCTGACTGTAGACAAAATAGTATCCCTCCTCTCTGACCAGGATGCTGTCACTCTCTGCCTCCAGGGCGGAGCCTCTCCTAAGCCCCGCCTGCCAGGGGATCCCTGTGTAAGGCTCCAATGCAAACACTGCACAACAACAGAACACACACACCATGCATCAGTCAATCTAAACATCACCAATCTGGACAAGCAAACCATGCATGAGTCAATCCAAACATGATGAACTACCTAGACTCAGTCTGTATGTCCTTCAGTCAACTTAAGTATTTCAGTCAATGACTGCATTTCCAGGTTTTCAGTACCTTTCTGGAATGTTTTCCTGTTGCTATCTGCCAGCATCTGTAGACAAGGTTGAGACACTAGAGGGAGGGGAGGACAGAGGGACAGTTTTGTATCGATTCAATAACCTCACCATGTACAATATGAGTTATTTCTAGTCAGAGAGAGAGAGAGAGAGAGAGAGAGAGAGAGAGAGAGAGAGAGAGAGAGAGAGAGAGAGAGAGAGAGAGAGAGAGAGAGAGAGAGAGACACTGAGGGAGAGAGCGAGAGAGAGCGAGAGACACACTGAGGGAGAGAGCGAGAGAGAGAGACAGAAACACAGAGAGAGAGAGAAAGAGAGATTACAATCATGAAATTTTGCAGCTTGCCAGAAATAACTCAGTTCAGTGTTCAAAGCAACAGCCCCATTTCACAGAATATGAGCTAAAAATAACACAGCATTGACAGTGACAACATGCTATATGAGAGAAAAAAGAAATGTCCACAACTCTGGTATGCTCCCATGGTGATTTAATCAGACGCACAATGAGACAACGTTTCGATCCAAGTTGGATCTTCATCAGGTTAAGTCACCATGGGAGCATACCAGAGTTGTGGACATTTCTTTTTTCTTTGATACATTCTTCTGTCCTGCACCAGATAAGTTTGATGTGCATATTTTCCTCTTTTTCTAACGTGCTATATGTCCCATCTCAACATGTCAAACAGACACAAACAGTCCCACTGAATAGTATTGGAAGTCTTGCCTGTGTTCTCAGTTCCTGTGCCCACACTCCTCTTCCTGACGAAGGACAGCCCAGGCTGGGGGTCAGGAGGGTGTGGATGGGGCTGGGGGTCAGGGGGGTGTGGACGGGGCTGGGGGTCAGGGGGGTGTGGACGGGGCTGGGGGTCAGTGGGGTGTGGATGGGGCTGGGGGTCAGGGGGGTGTGGATGGGGCTGGGAGTCAGGGGGGTGTGGATGGGGCTGGGAGTCAGGGGGGTGTGGATGGGGCTGGGAGTCAGGGGGGTGTGGAGGGTCTGGGCTGCTCCTTCTGGCTCTGGAGCTGCTGCTCATCTGCTGCAGTGTCTGGGTAATGCATCAGAAACTGAAGGTTACTTTCGTAACCCGGGTTCTCTGATAATGAGTGAGATGTCTCACAATGAGGGAGTACGATTAACTACAACAAGCTATCGGCCCGTGACCTAAACAGGCAAAAGCAGTGAGGGAGGAACGCCCTTCTCAAATCGCAACAAGATCTCATAGTCTCATGTCCGAATTAGACATTCATCCATGTTTCTCAAAAATTAAATTTGGAAGTTGTTCCAAAAGTCAAATTTCAAAGTATTTGGATACTTCTCTGTATCGTTCCAAGGTTAAGTTTAGTCATTAACTCAGAATTCTTAAGGTTAGGCATTAACTCCGAATGGTTAAGGTTTGGGATAAGCTTAAAATAAAAATATCAACCAGCGGTAGATGCTTACACCAATCCACAACACCCTAGCAAAACCAAAGCATACTTGAAGGTAATAGTGCTCACTATTGCCCCTAGTGGCCAGTTTCTACATCATATACATACACATACATACAGTACCAGTCAAAAGTTTGGACACAACTACTCATTCAAGGGTTTTTCTTTATTTTTAATATGTTCTACATTGCAGAATAGTAGAAGACATCAAAACTATTAAATAACACATATGGAATCATGTAGTAACCAAAAATGTGTTAAACAATCCTAAATATATATTTTAGATTTTAATTTTTCAAAGTAGCCACCCTTTGCCTTGATGACAACTTTGCACACTCTTTCAAAATGCAATTGTGTTCGTTGTCCGTAGCTTATGCCTGCCCACACCATAACCCCATCAGCAAACTGCTTGCCCACACGACACCATCCATGTTGTCTGTGGTTGCGGTCGGTTGGACATACAGACACATTCTCTAAAACGACATTCGAGGAGGCTTTTGGTAGAGAAATGAACATTCAATTATCTGGCAACAGCTCTGGTGGACATTCCAGCAGTCAGCATGCCGATTTGCAGCATCACATTTGAACATGTAAACCTCTTACCTCTCCATGCCTGGCCTCTTGTTGCTCCTCTCTCTTGCGGAAGACCTCTGACCGGAGCTCCTCAACCTCGGCTCTCAGGGCAACCAGGTGGTACAGAGACAAAGCAGAAAGAGATGAGGAGGTGACCGCTGCCAGGGTCAGCAGCAGGACCGGCCAGGACAGCCTCCGACCCCCAGACTCCTGCCCAGAAGCAGGGCCACCACCCTCAGGATTTGGACCTGCAGACGCCATCACAGGGCCCAGACAGCCTCCTCTGTAGTCAAACAGGCTGCATGACCTGCCTTCTGAAGGGCTCTCCTCTTTGGTTAGCAATGCTGGATCTTTAGCCTTTAGTTAATGTTACTTTCTCTTCGGTCTAACCTTCTCTCCTGTCTCAGTGTCTGCAGTCTGAAGACTGTACTGTAATGTTGTATAAGGAAGGGTAGAGCAGCAGCTTCCCTCCTTTGTTCCGCTTGATTAACCACACTCAGAACTTCCTGCTCTGATCACGGCCCAGCCAAACCACTCTCACCCACATTTTACCCATCTACGCTCTGTCTATCCCCACTCCAAACGACAAACTCTGCTCTCTCCATGCGCATTAGTCTGAAAGGGCACAGCAGGGGAGGGAGACATCTGATCCAGATTAAAGTCACAGCTGATATGACAAGCTTTAAAACATGTCAAAACATACGTAGTGTGTCATGGAAGAGGAACGGGTATAAATATGGTGACTCTTACATGGTTAAGTAAAAAAGGAAGTGCAGAAATAACCCTTGCCTCTTAAAAATATGCATAGCAAAACTAAACTGTGCATTACCAAAAAGTATTTGTAAGCAAACTTTCTGGGAATGTGGAACCAGGCATTTTACAGACAAACATTACACAGACAGTTTAGCAGAATCTTGGGTTTATTCAGTTATTGCATGTTACTGTACAGAGAATAGAAAGTGAGATTGTGTACTTAGAAATGAAGAATGACTGTAAAAAACAAACATCAACATTAAGAGTAGGGAAATGAGTGCAATGGTTGTTTTCCTAAACAGAATGGATGAACAGTACAAATTCAGTTAATGAAAAGGTACAGAGCTCTCAAATACAATCCCCATAAGCCTCCAGTTCAGAGAAGAGTGAACGTTCATCATCATAATGCGTTTAGTACTTCAACATATCAGTGTGTCAGTATGTTAACATATGAACACTTCAGTACATCAATAATACCCATGCATCCTTCTCCTCTCTTGCATATCATTGTCAGCTTTCACTCCATTCTGAGAAGCATTAACAATCGAATAGCTGTACAAAGGCTATTTTACACAATGCCAGTGCCAACATGTAGAATAGCAATTGATTTGAGACAAAACATTCAGTTCGATATTATTTATTTCACAATGGGACCTCGTTGGTGGTTATTAATTGGGCAGGGCCAAAGATTCTATCAGCAAAGTATTTCAAAAAATGTCCTGTACCTATCACGCGATCAACAACTTTGGTGGGAGTCAGGGACAATTCCAGTCCATTCAGAAATTTAACTGTATTCTTAGCTAGACATTATATGTCCAAGTCATCTTACAGTAATTTAAATGAAATGGGTATTGACTCCCACTGTCTCCCATTGTTTATGGCAGATTGGCAGGTCATTGTCTACAGGTAGTGGTGTGTGTAGCTAACTGATAGGGTCTGATTGTGACGGCACAGCACACATTCCTCCACTCACACACACTTTGATATGGCAGCAAGACAGTCAGTTCCTGCCATTTATATATTTTGTCAATCTACTCTCAGAGAGGGTGGACTGGTACTATAAGGTCTACAAACACAAATGCATCAACACAGACTCCGTAAAAGTGTTCGGCCATCATACACACACAACAAGCCAACCACTGCAGACAAAGCATGCACCCCTTGTTTGGTTACAAAACTTCCCACATAATAATAATAAAATAATATGCCATTTAGCAGACGCTTTTATCCAAAGCGACTTACAGTCATGCGTGCATACATTTTTTTTTTGTGTGTATGGGTGGTCCCGGGGATCGAACCCACTACCATGGCGTTACAAGCGCCGTGCTCTACCAGCTGAGCTACAGAGGACCATAATGCTGTATAATGCTGGGGAACTCACACTGTACAGAGCTTCTCTTCATGTAAAGCTCACTGGTCACCTCACATCCACACCGACTGCACATTTAGAAAGTAGCAGCCTATATACTGTAACATAAGTGTGCTATATCAAAGTTAACAACAGAAACTTCACCGACACAGACGGTTTCATCTCAATGTGATGGAAAGAGTTTAGTCTGAAGTTAGATTCTAGAGTCAACATGTCTGCTGATGCTGAGTGTGTCTCTGTATGGTGTCAGAATGGCTTTGATACAGTAGAACTGCACTGCAGCATGCTGCACTGAGACTGAGAACAGGGTCATATTCATTAGGGCACACCAACAGAAAACTAAAAATTAGCATTTCTTATTGGACATGTTTCATGACGTTCAAGCCCTCAATGAGCTGAATGAGGTGTGTTTTTCCAGGGCTACAACAAAAATGTGTACTGTTGGGGGTACTCGAGGACCAGGGTTGGAAAAAAACAGTCTAGCTCACCTTCAGTCCCTGGAAGACAATCTGGAAAGGTTAATTAGCTTGTTAAAAGTGCTCCAAGAGGGTAAAGTCATTTCTCCACAAGAGCCATGGGGTGAGATGAGACACTAGCCTACTTGACGGAACAATTATGTTGAAAAGAATAGATTAATACAAATAATAATACAACTTAGTCCCACTCAAGTCAATAACACAGGGATCAGAATTGAATCATCACACACCTAACACACACACTCTCTCCCACCGAAGCATGTGTGTACCTAGCTCACAGGAAGTATAAAGTAGAGCCAGGTTATTTTTCAGGCCATGGTATTTGGGAGTGTACTTTGGTTTTTAATAGTGTGCAGAACATTGCAGACAGATGTGTATTGTACAGACAGACATGGCTCACATGTCATAATCTGAAGTTCACATCCAACTGAAAGGCCTGGTGTTGCCGACCAAGATAAAGGGTCAGCTCTGCGTTTAAATTTATTGTCAGAGAATATAAGAACGGGCCTGTGCAACAAAGGAATATAATCTGGGGATTTATAACAACAAAACAGTTTGGGAGTGAAACATTCAGTGAAACTGCCAGGTTGTGCATGCAGATTTTCAGAGTGCCATATGGGCTGTATCATATTGGTTCTCTACCGGCTGATATGAACGTGATTTTAGATTAAGAAACTATGAGGAAACTATGAAGCCTTTAAGAGCCTCACACATTTAACTTTAAACAGCGTGTCATGAAATAGCACAGTAGATTATATAATTAAAAGAAATGCCAAGATCTTGGGTCTTACATCCTTACAACAGGCAAAACGTTTATTGAATTACTGAAAAGCTATCATATTAGTCAAACATTTATATTGATTTACTGAAATTCTATTATGTTATTTTTAAAAACTGTGGTTTACAGTATGAACATGGTTGTGTGGTATGGTGTGTATAAGCCATTCAAAGAAGGCCATAACAAGTACATATTCACCCATGCATTCATAGGTCAAACACAAAAGCATTTCCATGTTAATCATCCCCCCCACCCTAAACACTGCCCCCTCCAAAAGTACTCCCCCGTTGTTTTATCTGGTACAATTACACCAATGGAATAAGAAGATAATAAAAACCAATCCCAAACAAAAGCCTAGAAATGTACATTCTCTCCAACCTGACCCTAGTAGCTGAGCCCAGTTCAGTTACTCCTATTCATTCGAATGGAGGAGTCAATACCCACTGTCCTGTATCCTACTATCACACTAACTCCATGACCCGATCCAGGAACAACCCATAACCCCTACCCCACCATAGGTACTTCAAGTAGATCATAAAGAACTGGACAGGTATAAGCAACATGGTAGTGGTTGGCTGCACCTTGCCCTTGTTTTTTCCATATTCAATCGTTTCCGATCTACACAAGTGCCTAGGGAGTATGGACTGTAGGGTTTTCCAGACACACAGTCTTCCTCCCTCCCTTCTAGACTAGATGATGGTGACACTGGCAGTGGACTGGACGCTCTCCTCGTGGGCATGGCTCATCATCAGGTCCTTAACAAACTGCTCCAGGGCGGCGAAGTAGCCCTGGCACTGCCACGTGTCGTTGTGCGTGCCCTCTGGGAAGATGGCCAGCCGTTTAGTCCGCGCCGGTGACAGCTCGTACAGCTGCTTCATCATGACGGGCGGGATGAGCTGGTCCGACAGGCCCGACACGAACAGCGAGGGCATCCGGCACAGCGCCACCTGTCTGTAGGACAGGAACTGGTTCCGGTAGCACAATAGGGGCAGTAGCCTCATGGGCAAGAAGGAGAAGAGCGTGGTGGCCATGTGGGGGATGCTGAGGAAGGTGTTCTCCACCACGATGGCCGCCACGCGGTGAGGGTTGGCCGAGGCCAGGCGCACCGCCACCGCGCCCCCCAGAGAGCGGCCGAACAGCATCACCTTGGTCTTGTCTAGGTCGGGCCGGGTCATCACGTAGTCCAGCGTGGCCTGGGCATCCAGGTACAGGCCATCCTCACTGGGCTCGCCCTCGCTCTTCCCATACCCCCGGTAGTCCACCAGCACCACGTTGGCCTTCAGGTTCACCAGCATCAGCAGCGCGTTAGGCACCCGGTGCCCAATGTTGCCCGCATTGCCGTGGAAATAGAGGATAGTGGGTGGGTCCGTGGAGGAGGAGGGGTTAGATGCGTTGCCGGTAGTGACCCCGGGGTTGCCCAGGCTGTCTCCGCCGGTGTAGCGGAGCAGGATAAGGTTGAGGCGCACGCCGTCCTTGGTGCGGATGTAGACGTTCTCATGGGGGATGCCTGTGGGCATCGGCACGTAAAGGCGGGAGGAGGAGGGCTGGTCGGGGAAGTAGAGCAGCACGTCCTGGAACTTGTAAAGGATGCCAGCCACTGAGGCCAGGATGAGAGCCAGGAGAAAGAAGCCTCCATAGAGGTGGAAGGTGAGGATGAGGGCTAGGAGGGAGATGCGACAGGCACCCCAGGACCAGGAGGCCAAGGCCAGGGCACAGCGCTCCACCGAGCCCCACAGCCTCCACGGCTTCTCCATGGCACAAAGGAGACACACAGGATCACACCACCACCACACACACTCTGTGTAGAGAGAGAAAGAAAGAGAGAGAGAGAGAGGAGAAAGTGGATTGGGGGAGAAGGGGAGAAGAGATTGAAAGTCATGACTCATGCACTGTACTAGACACGACTC